TGTAAATATTTTCAAAATATATATACTGTATGTGTGTATTTATATATACATAATAAATATACACAGAACACACATGCAAACAAAAACTTTTATTTTGTATGCGATTAATAGCGATTAACTGTTTGACAGCACTAATATACATATATATACTGTGTATATATATATATATATGTGTGTGTGTGTGTGCATGCGTGTGCGCATGTCTGTGTGTAAACATTTATAGACCCAAATGCATAAACTTACTGTCTCTCCAGAAGCTGCTTCACTGTAAGGTAGGCCCACAATCTCTGCATGAAATCTTCACTCTCAGGTGGGACATCACTGGGGTCTTTTGTCATTGTAGTGTCCTGATATGTCACATTACTGCCTTTCTACATGGAAATAATAACACTAGTGAATATTTTTATTAGGAATGCTGTCAGTACCACTTTCGCCAAGAACTTTCTTTCAAAACAAAGTGGTCATTATTATAAACTCTATTATAAACAACTGGCCATCAATGATTCTAATATCAAATATACTGATTTGGACTGCTGAAAATTAAAAATACCTGCCCACACAATCCCTCCCCTGGTCCAATTTGATAAACATAGAGTGAAGATCTTACTGATACTGCGATGACTTCAGTGGTGAAACTCTCCACACTGTTGTCTATGATTTGTCCTGACACCACAATCTCAGAGCCATTGAAGTACAAGCTAAAGCTGGTCTTGGTAAGGTTTGTCCCGCCTGGGTATTTAAGTTGAATATCAGTGAGGAGAGGGACGGCAACTTCTTCATAGAAGCCCTAAAAATAAAACTAACTTTAAATGTGCTCAAAGACAGAACCGTTCAGCAATAAAGATGAATTCTCAGCTGATCATCTGTAGTTCACCTGCAGCTGTAGATCAGCGTCTGAATCTTCATAAATCCTGCGAGCAACTCCACCATTTTCCAGTGACATCTTTGTCAGGAAGTCAAAGTTAACATCATATCCAAAACCAAGGCAATAGAGGGGAAACTTTGTCCCAATGGCCTTTTGCACATTGGCCATTATCTTCTCTATGTTGGTTTCACCTGTTAGAGAAATTTTTTTTTTGAGTTATTTGAGTGTTCAGCAATGGATACTTTTTAGGCAATTTCATATTTCTTATTGTCTTTCTCTCATACTGAAAAAGACTGAAAAAAACAAATTGGTCATGATAATCCGTTGGTCCTACAATTATTTCAATTAGGTCTAAAACCCTTTATAAACAGGTCTGCTAATAAACCCTGAATATTATAGGATGGCAATTAAAATGTTGTATTGATGAAGCATGGCTGACTGAATAAACATGATAAAACCTCACATTGGCCATTATCTTCTCTATGTTGGTTTCACCTGTTAGAGAAATTTTTTTTTTGAGTTATTTGAGTGTTCAGCAATGGAGACTTTTTAGGCAATTTCATATTTCTTATTGTCTTTCTCTCATACTGAAAAAGACTGAAAAAAACAAATTGGTCATGATAATAATCCGTTGGTCCTACAATTATTTCAATTAGGTCTAAAACCCTTTATAAACAGGTCTGCTAATAAACCCTGAATATTATAGGATGGCAATTAAAATGTTGTATTGATGAAGCATGGCTGACTGAATAAACATGATAAAACCCCGTTTAGCTTGTGTTTGTCAGTGTGAATCTGTGCCTGAAGTGGGATCTCCGTCAGTCAGCAGGATCAGGATGGAGGCTGTTCCCTCTCGTGGATGTCGATTGATCATGTCCACTCCTGCTAGAACTGCAGCGTTTATGTCCGTGGCTAAAGGAAGACCAAACATAGTTGTGTCACTGTGAGGTACAACTTTTTTACTCCTTATGTAGCATTAGTGCTGTAACTCACCTCCTCTATCTGTGATCTCATTCACGAAAGATTTCGCATTCCTCAGATTTGCCTCAGTAGCTTTGAGAAGCTCACGCTTCCATAAGTTAACTTCACTGTCAAAGGTGATCAATCCAAAGTGGTCATCCTCATCAAGATCACTCAAAATCCTTAGCAGTGCCAATCGAGTCTAAAGAATGACAACACATCTGAAAGTTATTCTTTCTTCATTAAGACTGCATACTCACATTTAACAGACATGGACAGTTTGTTACTAACTTAGAACAACACCAAACTGATTTCAGTAGAGGAAATCAGAGGAAATCTTCTACAAGACTTTGACCATCCACTAGTATACAATGAAATTTTTTACCTGTTCTATTTTTCTGCCGCTCATAGAACCACTCCGGTCAATGATAAACGCCACATTTTTGGAAATACGTGGAACATCAGAGGGGGCAAAGTAGTGGACGAAATAGCCATTTGAAACCTGAGAGAGCAGAAAAAGAAGTACATTCTGGACTTTTTGCATTGCGCAAAAAAAAAAAAAAAAAAGTACCATGATTTCTCCGTTAGGATTTTGTCTGTTGACATCATATGTTACAAGCAGGTCACCATTCAACCCATTTTCTCCACAGCTTTTACACTTGGTCTGTTGATCTTGAGTGGGGTAGAAGGACACCCATGCCTGAAATGATCAGTTTGTTCATCTGGTAACTATTTAAGTGTATGAGCATATTGAGAACATCTAAACTGTGTTTAAACCCTCATTTAAGTTCTTACGTCTTTGTCTGCTCTGGTGGTTTTGATGGCATTTGCCAGATCACCGGTGCTCAAATCTCCTTTCACCTCCAAGGAGGAAATTCCTGGTTTCTCTTGGATGTGCACATTCATCTGATATGAGGAAAAGAAACATAATCTAACTATACATTAAAATGATCAATGTCCTATTCATTTATTCCATTAACCTTGAAGTCAGCCACAGGCTGCACCAGTTGGGCATTGATGAGTAGCTCATATTTGCCGAGGCGACGCTTTAACAGTTCCTCGTAGGTCAACTCAAACGTCACTTTACTAAAAGCAGCCACTGTCACTGAGGTTTTAAAGTCCTCCAAAGTCCTCCCAACAGATCTGAAATATAAACAAATCCCAGCATATTACTAAACATACTACAAATACATATTTTATGGACCTAATTGAAAAAAAATTCCAGTACTTGACCAGTCCAGCACTTTGACCTTGAGATACTGCTTGACTGTATTGCTGCTGAGCTTCCTCTTTTTCCATCACAACCCCATCATATGTTTTTTCCTCTATAACCCTATGGAGAAATTAAAAGACTAAACTGACTTAAAAGTTAATTTGTTGGCTATAGTTGTCTTCAAACGAGTTTGCAGACACACTCAGCACATTTGTAATTAAGAGTACTGAATTTCCCTACATTCTGAATTTGCTGATGAAGGCATTCTTGGGAATCTTGACCTCAAACTGGATCTCTTGAGATTCATTCAGTGTGTTCGCAACACGGCTTGTGATGACTGTTGTGGCGTAGCGACTGGTGACCGTGGAGTTAATGTAGAAGCTGTATATATCCACATTTTGTTTCTGTTGAGACACCAGAAGGTACTCTTTAATATTTTTGCAGGTACACTCTTAAAAATAAAGGTGCTTCACGATGCCATAGAAGAACCTTTTTGTCTAAATGGTTCCATAAAGAACCCTTAACATCTGAAGAACCTTTCTGTTTCACAAAAGGTTCTTTGGGGCGAAAAAAGGTTCTTCAGATTATAAAAAGGTAAGAAAGAGATGGTTCTTTAAAGAACCTTTGACTGAATGGTTCTTTGTGGAACCAAAAATGGTTCTTCAATGGCATCGCTTGAAGAACCTTTTGAAGCACCTTTATTTTTAAGAGTGTAAGACTAATTTGAACTGAAACCAGGGGGTTATAATTTGAACTTAACTGAGCGTAAGAAGCCGTTCACACAACACTGAGGAACGGGTAAAAACAATCGATTCACTGATTTGAACGTGATAGAGCGTCTTAAAGAGCATGCGCGAGACGCAGCTCAAAGATGCCGTATAGTGCATATTTACTGTACATGGACAACAATTAAAAAGCAGCATAGTGGAACACAAAAGCGTGTTATTTGTGAACGGCTCATTGAATTGTGTACACTTTTCGTGTGGGATTGTTTAAATATTTACTGCTCGTAAACAAGGAGAAAAGGCCTTTGGACTAAAAGACAAATTCGACTACATCTCAGTGTAAACTATTGAGAAATAGATAGTTTAGTAGAGTCTAATAGCGTTCAGTCAACAGTTCTGTATCAACAGAGAAACCAAAAAGCTTTTACTTTGAATATTTATTTATTTATTATATTTTGTTAACAGGAGTAAAATATCACACACATATGAACACAAGCATAATTGACAGAAAATACCTCAATTGTATTGGCTCAGATGAAGATGTTTATCTGGCCAAGAAGTAAGATGAAATTCAGATTTTTATCTGATTGAGATTTTTATAACAGTACAGCAGACTTCTTATATAAAATACATATAATTCCAGTCATCACGCTATATCTTCCCATTCCAATTCCAGTCTTAAGATGATATTTAAATGCTTAGTTTCATTTTCAAAATCCTGTAGTTTCAATTGTGGGCAAAATATATAATGCGATGCAATACAATGATGATTAAGAGATGAACCAATAAACATACCTCAAAAGCCTGTTGTATTTTATACGTACATTTTAACATTTTTTTTTTTTCTAACAAATGATGTACAGATAATCAAGTAAACCAAAGAAACTTTGCCTCTATCTGATTGTGTACCCTAAACACATTGACTGATATGTTATTTGGCCCTTACCTTCTTAACAACACCTGAAGAGGCTGAGATGAGAAAAACACCCAAGAGAATCGACCAGAGAGCTGCTCGATCCATCATGACCTGCACAGCAAACAGACCACACAGCCTTTAAGCTCATGTCCAGTTCCTGCTATTGGCTATTATTGACCGGATAAAGAAACCTCCCCCTTTTTGTAAACTTGAACCTCACATAAAAGCATAAACATAAACTTAAAAAAATAAAGAATAAGAAGTATATGAAGCACTTAGTGTATACATTGTGCTTTTTTTTAAGATTATAGATGCTGAGCTTGTATTTTTGTGGGTTCTTACTTCTATCAGAATTTGATAAGCTTAATGTTAATTAAGTCTTTAATGTTTCCCACTTTCAGAGTTTTCAAGTATTTTGAATTTTCATGTATGTGTTGAATATATTTTGCTTTTAACTTTTGTAAGAATTCCACAATAGCATATTTTAGAAAAACACATTTTTTTAACTTCACTTTTGAATAGAGTGTCATCTGAGAGGTCGTCGAGGATAAATACATAACCAGCTTTGAGCTCAAGTTTCGCTTTGTGCAAACAGACAGTGCTGCATTATTATGTCTATCCCAAATGAGGAGTTATGCAATGTGGCGCTCTGTACAGGCATTCACTATTATTGAGCACTTTCTGGCATGGTATCTCTATTTATATAAACTAGGATATTATGCAATTCATTCTGTTCTATTTTTGTGCTATTCTATTCAGTGTTCTTAATAGGGACATAGGGGCTTTCACAGACAACAGACTTCCTTGACCCTATATAAAGCCTACAGTATCATATTTAATATGCAATTTTACAAGGCCTCTAAATTATCAACATGATGAAATTTTTGCAAGTAAAACGCCTTTTATTCTAATTATAAAAATGTCCCCCTTTCAGGTTGTGGTACAGTCTTTTTGCTGTGAAATCCTTAATGATTCTTATAAAGTAAACGTAAGAATAACTTTTATATTGTTAGTAATATTTCAAGATGATCACTTACAGGACTGAAGCAACTTAGGTTTACTTGTTTATCCATATATCATTTATTAGAAAAATCATGTTAAAATCATCAAGGATTGTTTATTTGTTCATCACTCAGTCATCATTGTATTGCATTGCATTATATGTTTTGAAACTACAGATTTGATCATAAAAGTTTAGTATTAAAATATCAGCTTACTAAGATGTTTTATTAGGAGACATAGAGTGACAACTGATATGCATTTTTATGTTTAAGTTGTCTGCTATACTGTTATAAAGAGCTCACAGACTTACATTAAGCTATCATAATTGTATCCGACGTTTTGGCCATACAAATTGCCTATTAGTAACAGTGCAAAATTGCACATTTTTGCTCAGTTTGGGCCTCAAAAAATTTAGGTTTTGTAAAAAATATTACAAATATCAAGCTTTCCAGTGCTGAATGTTGGATTGTATCATATAATACTGTCTGCAGGGGGCGCTTAGTGACTTCACTGTTAATATACTCAGGTCAAATGCCTCATGAGTGCACAAAAAAGCTATTTAAATATAAGTATATTTGTGTAGTAGCAATATAATCCAACTGTAAAAATGTATATGCTCTAAATGTTAAGATGTAGTGTTATGGTTGCTGAATAATGTTGTATAATGTTATAATGTTTAATAAATGTTGTAAACAATTATTAAAAAAAGAACAAGAACAAGTAAAAGAAACCTCTGCCTGTAACAAAATCATCAATAAATATCCCCTCAATGTTCTTCTTACAGAAAATAAAAAGATCATTTTTAATGATTTCACAAAAAACACATAAACCGTATACTGCAGTCTATTTGAGGCACCACTGTTATGTTAAAAGCATCAAATTAGCTCTTTGAAGAAGACAAAAGCATTTAATGAATGTGACTGGGCAGGTCTGAGAAATCCCTCTACCTTTTTTTCAAAGTAGAGCTAAAAGAAGCGAAAGAATGCTAACCAACTTGTTTACTCAGATTTCTTTTTGGGCTTGTTCAAGAAAGACCCATCTAGCCATGAGACATTTCTAGAACAAGCACACAAAATATACATGTTCTTTATTTAATGTCCACTAAATGGTCAACAACAAACTTACGTTTATTGGTGTAATCAAATACAGTCAACCTGATTCAGTCAAATTAAATGACATAATTTGACAATCTGATAAATTGAAGTTCTTTCATGTTGTTTTGCCTTTAAGCAGGACATTATAGTGAAAAAAAGTTTGCTGAAGAATACGTTATGCTAGTAAATATTTCTATATTTACATTTGGGACTCAATTTCTGTGCAAACTTTAAAGTCTTGATTACAAAATAGCTGTTGCACATGCTGTTTAAAAAAAATTGTAACTAACATTTATTATTATTAATACAAGTAATATTCATTTACAGTAATAGAGGGGCATGTTGTCACACAGGAACTTGCAATTAAACAGCCTATTTTGGATTTTTATTTGGATTTAATTTATACAGTAGCCTACAACACATGAAAATCATGTTACATCTTGCCCCAACATGATAGCTGCTCTTGCCCATGTAACATCTCGCCCCAGTCTCCCCTAGATGCATTCAGCTTCAGGGATGGGTGTTTTGGGGTGTTTCTAATGATCACAATCCCATAGCAAACCTTGAGCCTTATTATCTTTAAAAGAAGCATCTGGATGAACTCACTATGCTACTCCCTGTTTTGGGTGGTTTCTGTCAGTTATTAAACAGCAACTCTTAATTCCAGGTGAGTTATTATAACCAGTTGCCATGATACACGAAAGAGAGGTGCTAAACAAATTCACTCACTACAGAGAATGATACAGACAGGGAACTTTGCACCTGGCCATTTCCTGGTTACAGTTTTACAACGCTGCAAATAACCAAGATCATATTTCTCTATCAGCTCTGTTAATTATGAGCACACAAACACCTTTTTAATAACTGCAGTTTTCTTCCATAAAGCCATTTGGTGCTAGTGTGTGTTTTGATTGTCAGCTGGGAGGGGTGAGTCTCTCATACACTCAAAGTTCACTCACACGCTCTTTCGTTTAATTAATGTGTGTCAAAGGCAACAACGTCTTATGAGGCTTTATAATCCATACTCTGCAGTGCTTCGAAAACACCTTCTCATTTATACCACTGGGCAGTAAGTAACATTTTCTGTTAAAGCTAAAGTAAATTTGTTGTGTGTGTGTGTGTGTGTGTGTGTATGTGTGAGTGTGTGAGAGAGAGCATTTATTTATCAAAATTAATCTTTATTGTCATTTTTATTACCATAAGCAACCCGTATCATCAACAATATGTATTTTGAAATCCAGTAATACAATACAATTATATACAGTTAAAACTATTTAAAAAGGGATTTAATGTAGCCTACTCAACTAGTTAACAAAAATGCTCTAAGAAGGTGTTTTTGTTAACATTCCCATTAAGTTATAACATTATTTCCGAATATTCTCTAAACATTTATTTTTAAATGTTTAAAAAAAAAAAACGTATTCATTTGAACGTTAGATGCATTTTGTTATTTTGCTAGCATTGAGGGAATGTTACCTTGAATGTTCTCTGAACTGGAGTGGAAATAAAGTTTACATACAGTACAATAAATGAGAACAATACGCATTGCCCTTTAATATGCATCAGAAATCCAGGCATTCCAGGCAGAGCAGCAAACGTGATTCATGTACACCCACGTTATCTGGCAATCTGTCATACACACAGACACACCTGGGCACACTGGAAGCCAGGTGACTTCTTAAATGTTGCATTTTGTTATTTTGCTAGCATTGAGGGAATGTTACCTTGAATGTTCTCTGAACTGGAGTGGAAATAAAGTTTACATACAGTACAATAAATGAGAACAATACGCATTGCCCTTTAATATGCATCAGAAATCCAGGCATTCCAGGCAGAGCAGCAAACGTGATTCATGTACGCCCACGTTATCTGGCAATCTGTCATACACACAGACACACCTGGGCACACTGGAAGCCAGGTGACTTCTTACCGAACACAGATCAACCAACGTTTAGAACCAGAAGCTCAAATCCGATATTACAAGAGCTAAGAGTTTGAATCGCGGATTCAAAATAAAACACTAATCGTTTCTATCTCCTTACAGACAGACGAGACAGCATGCCGTCTAACTGCGATCCCTAGCGCTTCCTGCTCGGCGAGACTGGAGAACCGGACGGTGGATTTGGACTGTGTATCCGAGCCGATCAGAAAATGGTCATCTTGGGTTCTCCTAAAGCCTTATAGAGACAACATAGCGAAGGATATAACCTACAGGATTTTGTTCTTAACCAGTTTTCGATTAATTGTCTCTTGGATACGAGAGTGAAACTGTTGCGCAATGAAGTTGACGTGGTGGATAGTCCAACTGCTCCTATTGGCCAGCGGAAGTGTGTGTTCACTGGAGCGAGCCACACACAACCCAGAAAACAACGTCATCTGTCCTCAGGTTGAATGTTCATTCATTAAACATGTTTGTTTGTTTATTACTTGTTTATTTGTATAGTTGTGATATATGTTTGGAAAAATTCCTAAACAAAGGTGTCCAGTGCTCAGTGTATTATTAAAGTATGTACCTCATTATTATATTATATTATATTATATTATATTATATTATATTATATTAGTACAAAAACATCACATAGAACAAAAAATAATAATGAAATTAAATTCAGTTATGCAATATTATTATTAGTTTAAAAATATGTATCACATGTAAGTTTATGCCATTATAAACAAACAAACTAAAGTCAATTTAATGTTTGATTTCAAGTGATATAATTATCAAGTAACAAGTACCAAAAAAAATGTAGTTTTAAGAAATTGTTTCAAAGACAATATGTGAAAGATCAATGTCAGTTTGGCCTGAACAAAACATATCTTTTCATAATTGATTTTGACACACACCTTACAGGTGCACCCTAGACACAGCATCAGTGATGTAAACTGGGGTCATCGGGTGTTTCGGGTCTTTCAACATCATACACCCTCGCCCAGGTGACCCAGCCAGGGGTGATCAATCCCCGACTTAGGTAGCTTGTGTAGTCCACGGATTGCCACAACCACACTTTTGATCCACAGCCATCTAGATGCCTTCTCAGCGGCATCCATGATG